ACATGTTCGTACGAAGCCTTTGTACGAACAAAAGTAAGAGAAATTTAGGAGAAGAATACGAACATGTTCTTGCATGAGGCCCATTATCTTTAAAAGCTGATATTTTCTCAAGCTTCTCTCAGGTTTGTTACTGAGTGTAAAACCTTGACCCATCATTGTGAACTGTACACTGGRGTGGGACAACCTTTGTTGGGACATTGGTCCACTTTGAGCTGTTGTCCTCCTACATCTGATTTAACCACAGAGAAGCTTTGATTCTTACTCAGATGACATTTCTTGCTCTTTGTTCCATTTCTCCACAGAATTATGAAAAAGCTCCTTTGTTTACTCAACATGTTGTAAAACCACTTTAGATTAACTGAACTTCTTTCAGGGAGAACTTTAAAGTCCAGAGTGAGAGCACCAGATATAACGTCTTTAAACTGTGACTGATTTTAATAATTGTTTATTTGGTTTTTGTGTAATTAATTGTAAATGTTGTGTAACCTTTTCCTCCTCCAGGACTCCTGTGAACGAGGTTTTTAATCTCAATGGGACCTTCCTGGTGAAATAAAGGTTAAATAAATAAAGTAATAATAATAACCTGGTTCTGCTGGAGGTCACCACTCCACACTGGTTCAGGATGACAGATTGGTACAAAAGAAGATTTTAAGATAAATAGAATYGCACTGATTAAACTTATTTAAAGTATAACAATAAAAGCAGGTCATGGTCAGCTGGAGGTCGGTCTGGTTTGAAGCTAAAACCATCTTTATGTCTCTTGTCCTCACCAGTGGAGTCCAGCAGTCCCAGTCTCCTGTCTCCTGATAATTCTCTGGAACGATCTTTCTTCATCCGGATGAAGTCGACGCTCACAAAGAGAGGAGTCCACATCAAGTCCTCAGGATACAAAGTGAGTTTCATACAGGAAGTTATGGTGCAGAGTGAGGGCCAGAATTAAGACTGTTGTACAACCAGGGGTTGCTACATGCTTGTAGCAGGAGGCTATATCTATTCCTAACCAGCTATAGATCTGATTAATGATAGGCTGACAGCACTAACTAGCCTCTGAATGCTAACACCAGCTTTTCCATGCTAGTCACTAGCCTTTCCGATGATAACACCAGCTTATCCATGCTAGTCACTAGCCTCTCCAATGCTAACACCAGCTTATCCATGCTAGTCACTAGCCTCTCCAATGCTAACACCAGCTTTTCCATGCTAGTCACTAGCCTCTCCAATGATAACACCAGCTTATCCATGCTAGTCGCTAGCCTCTCTGATGCTAACGCCAGCTTATCCATGCTAGTCGCTAGCCTCTCTGATGCTAACACAAATGAATAGTGTCCTCCTCATTTGCAGCTCCAGCCTCTCAGTTAGCGGTGCTATCCTATCATTAATCAGATCAATAGCTGGATTAGGAATAAATAGAACCTCCTGCTACAAGGATGTAGCATTTGCTGGTCTTTATTTTGACCCTCATACTGTGCCACAGAAACTCAGCGTTGAGTCCAGTCCAGGACCAACATTAATTCTGTAGTCCTGTCCTGAAAACCTCAGATTAGTAAAGAAGCCATCTTTGTTCTGACTTTAACGAGTCTGGTTCCCTCTCCAGGTGATCCACATCACAGGTCGTCTGCGGATCCGGATGGCTCTGACCCACAGCCGCTCCGTGCCCAATCAGATCATGGGGATGGTGGTGGTGGCTCACGCCCTGCCCCCGCCCACCATCAACGAGGTCCGGATCGACTGCCAGATGTTTGTCACCAGAGTCAACATGGACCTGAAGATCGTTTACTGTGAGAACAGGTGAGGAGCTCTGAACACGTGTTTAATATTCTCTTTACAGATTAACTTTAGTCTGTATGCTCTAAATAGTTTATTTACAAATGATTTATTTTGTTTTGACCAATAATCCTCCTGGTTCTGCAGTTTTTCAGACACAAAGCTTGAAATGTTCAACCTGCTGTTTCTGTATTCATGCTTCATACCTGATTTCCAAGAAGCAGAAAGTTTTTTCCTGATCGGAGCTTTTTATTCATGAGCAGTCTGACCCAATCCTCCCTGGTTTAACACTGAAATACGTCTCTGATGGTTCCATCTCCTCCTCCTGTCCAGATAAAGCAGATAGGCATCAGGAGTTAACTGGCTGACTGCAGAGATCCGTATCAGGCAAACTCAAAAATAAAAAAAGATCATCCCTTCATGTTTTATAATAAAAAAGAGGAGGGAAATGATAGTGGACAGATTGCTTTCTGTGCCTGTAAAAGGAGGATACAAAGGCAGGCAGATGATGATGTTGGGTGTGGAGCGACACAAATCGTCTCGGCAGTAAAGTGATGAGCGGCGCCTCCATTACGCCTCCATTTGGACCGGGACTTTAGAGAGAATGAGAAAATGAGACCATGTGTTTTTCCTAAAGAACATAGTGTGCTGTTATCAGGCTGCAAGACATTAGTCTGTCCTCCTGTCCTCCTCCAGGAAACACTTCTGTCCATTTGTTCAAATTAAACCCTTTAAAAACAACAACTGGACCGCTTCTCTTCTGCTAAATAAAACTGACTCAAACTTTAGGATGAAGTTGGTTTTGTTTCTGATCAAATCCGGATCAGGTTAGAAGCTGTCAGGATGTTTGCAGGTCTTTTAGTTCTGACTGGACTTGTTTGTTCTGGGTCTCAGGATCAGTGACTACATGGACCTGACTCCGGTGGACATCGTGGGGAAGAGATGCTACCAGTTAATTCATGCTGAAGATGTGGAGGGGATCAGACAGAGTCACCTGGACTGTGAGTACCTGTGGAACTGACAAATGACCTTCAAGAAGACAGATGTTTGTGCTTTGATCCAGTTAACGGACCAACAGAAACACGTTTGTTTTGGTTTCTGATCAAATGAATCAAACAAACAGCAGCTCTGTTCATTTTTACAGACAGCTTGTGTCATGGAAACAACACAGACATGCTACATGTTGGTTAGCTTCATGTTAGCATGAAGAAACAACACAGATATGCTACATGTTGGTTAGCTTCATGTTAGCATGAAGAAACAACACAGACATGCCACCAGCAGCATCGACTGGGATCCAGACCTGTTC